TGATCTTCGAATGAGACAAATGCTCTAGCAAGATAAGCTTCTCTGAATATGGGATGAGTAACACCATCAACAGTCTTAAGATCATAATAAAATGTAGGACCTCTTATGTTGTGCAACAATAACCACAAGTAAAAAAGCTCAGAATCTTCAATGGGACATTTTTTAAGTACCTCAGATTTACAAACACCACGTTTTCTAAGTCTGCATTCTTTAAGTCTGGCATTCCACACAAATTTGGTAAAAACTTTATAGAAGGTCTCGACCATTTTCGTACTTTTGTTTACAATCCATCCAAGCCATAAATTTGTTTTTAGTAATGACTTTACCGCGTCTGAGGTCTGTTTCGCCAAGATATAAAGGAAGATGGTAACCCATTATTTCTGGTACGAAAACAAAACATATGTAAGTACAAACCTTAATTATTAAAATTAAATATATCGAGAAACACTAAAACTTGGCATGTTCGTTTTCAAAACCAACAATGGAGCTAAATAGACTCTATTAAGAAGTGGGAAAAGTTGCAAATAAAATCAACTATAAAAATATTTTTTTACTGTATACAAATATATCCTAATAAAATCAACTATAAAAATAAGTGGGAAAAGTTGCAAACAAATATATGACACCATTTACTTGGGTAATTATAAATATGATGAACCAAATCTAATTAATACTGTTCATTTAACACAATAGTTGTTTCAATTTAAATTAGGAAATATAAACAGTTACCAAATATATAGGTACATTGTTTTACTTAAGTAGTGATATCAGTATATATTTTGATACTGAAAAGCGAAAAAATATCAAACATAAATATAAAAGAATATGCTTTGTCAGTTGGAAATGTGATGAACCATTAAACTACTTAGGGCTTGACTGCTTTAAACGCAGCGGTTGCGGTTGCGAGTGCGGAAGTTTGCGGAAACAGACGATTGCGGTTTTGAGCGTTATTCAGCGGTTTGCACGACTGGTTAAATTTTTTAAAGCGGATCTGTTTGCGGGACAATTTTGACTGGCAAACCAGCGATTGTTTTAGCGGTTAAATATAAAATTACCAAAATAAATATCATATATAATTATAAAAAAACAGAAAACTATATTATTATGATTAATATCAAAATCAATAGTTTAAATTAATCAATAAATTATAAATAAATACTAAATAATTATTTTAAAAATTAAGAAATTTTATAATAATATGTTTTATTTTAATTATTGGGAACATCACACAAAGTTGTGTCTAGTACTGAAAAAATTTGCTCCAATACGTGGATCTTCTGAATTTGTCTTATGCATGATGTAAAATTTCTTCAATTGATCTAATCGATTTTTTACACGATCCCAACTTAAATCAACTCCAAATTGCTCATTAATATTCTTCAAAATACGTTCTTTCTGGAGTGCACTCAAAAATCTAGGATATTTATCTTGATTTCGTTTTTCCACAATGATCCGTTGAATTAACGCACATGTCATCTCGTTTGATCATGTAATTTTCTGAAGAACAAACAAAAAAGAATTATAACAAACTAATTTTGTAATTAATAAGATACATATTTATAATTTCTTACTTTAAATTTAAATGTGGAAATAGAACAATTAATATAAATAAATTAACTAAAATATTATGACACTTATGCTTATATCTTAATTTTCTTCAACTTATATGAAAGCCATGATTAGAGACTAGAACTTGATAGAAAAAGTGAGAGGTTAGAGTTTATATATATATAAGAAGATTAGTAGGGTTAGGGTTTTATAATTGTTTTTAACGTGATCTTTTTTTTTCTAGCATGATTTTATTTATTTTTATTTTTTTACCCAACCGCTACCGCCCGCAACCGCAAACGCTGACGGAAAGCAGCTTTTGGATTTCAGCAGTATAAAACGATACAAAGCAGTTTGCAGCGATTTTTATGATTGTGATAAAACGCCACTAACCGCTATCACCCGCAAACGCAGCGTTTGCAGGTGATAGCGGGTGAACCAATCAACACCTTAATAGGGATAATTATACAGTAGAATTGATTAAAATATATTAACAAAATCTAATTACCTACCAGATATTTCGTTAAAATTCTGAAGCTTTATAGATTGTTTCATAAGTTTTACTTTTCCTTTTCTTTGAACAGGTAAAGCCTTTTAACATAACTTGAAATTATTAGGTAGCTTTATATTTTTACACTAATTAAAATGTTCACATATAAATGCAAATGAAAACAAAAATAAAAATTGGCGCTAAATCAGGGAAAACGATATAGATAAACAGTTCGACTTCCAGTTAATAGATTTATATTTGTTACACATTTTGATTTTTAAACCTTATATAAAAAAATTATTAAAGAATTATAATGGATAAATCATTTTTTTTTGTTATATATAGTCCAATTCTATTGTAACGTTATGTACTTACTATGAGAAGTGATCGATCACAAATAAAACTGAGAAAAACTACTTATACTGAACGGATTCGTCGCAGATGCATAAAAAATACTAAGAACTGAACAAAATATTTTGTTCTTCGTTTCCACGATATTTTTTATACATCTGTGAGAAATCAAATTAGAATATCAGTTGTATTATCATAACTTGATGAAAATTCTCTTATACTGTTTATTTATATAATAAATTGATGGTTACTACTCATGTTTTTCTGTGTGTTTAATTTTTTCCAAAAGTATTCTGTAATAAAAATATTAAATACCATTTGACCGAAATATCACAACTTCTCAAATAAGATGTTTTCAAATATATGGATTGCTTATTATTTAAAGTAATAGAATATATTTTAAAATTTGAATAAGTAAAAAGATTATATATCCATATATATTCAACACAAATGTATGAAATTTAAATCTCTCTTACATAATATTATTTAAGTGACTTTCTATAACTGTAAAGTATATCAATATATTATAAGTAAATGTTCAGTTATGTAATACATTTTTTTTAATATATTACAATTAAAAGTTAATTATTATATCAGTCATTTATTACAAATAAAAGTTAATTCTTATGTGTATCAGTTACTTTAAGTTCATTTTAAAAATACCAGTAACATTCGACATAGTTTTATAAGTATAAGTTCAACAAAAAATAGAAACAAATATGACATAAAAAAGGAAACAGTTTTTAACAATCGACTATTCTCATAGAATGGCATGACCCATTCACAGTACTCATCTTCAACATCAATTAAATCATCTGTGCAGTCCAACCTGAAATAATTTAATAAAACAATTATTAAAAACAATATCTAACAAAATTTTTCTCATATACGGGAAATTTTAATATGTGCATATTTTATTATACTTACATGATACATGAATTCTTAACTTCCAGAATAAGGGGATCAAATTTAATCTCCGAGAAGTTGTCATTGGGAAAAATACGTATGCCATCTGCAATATAAAAAAATTTAATTTAGACCTTATGCATAATACAATTCCAGTAAACAATATAAAATTAAAACTGATTACCTCCATATGGTCCAACCTCCCAAAATCTTAAGACACATATGATTACTTTGTCTCTAGGTTTTGTTAGCCAGAGCTCTCAAACTTGACAGCATTGTTACCAAATGCGACACATTTGATATCAACACACCTATGAAAAATATGGAAATATATGTATAACAACCTAACAAAATAATTATGATATATTGAGAAAATTAGTATATATGGTTACATACTCAAAATTCTGAATCGTAAATTTGATACACTTATTGGTAGCAATCCCTTCTCTCCTATATTTCATCTCTCCATGTTCAGGCAATTTGCGAACTTTTACTATGCATCCAATCAAGTCAACTATACAAATGGTATTTCATATATGTTAGACATCTGTCAGTTACATATAAAAGTCTAACATATGAACAATAAGAAAGATGAATACATACTATTTTTGGATGATGTAGACAATAACATTGGTAATAATTCAGTGAATTTTGAAAAAGAATACATACGATCTTCCGATTTTGGGGATGTCATATGAAACCGAGTATCATCAGTTATAGATATCTGATATCTATTGAATTTTGCATTAGATGACGATGAAATTTCATTGATACAAAATTTGCGAACGAAATACCAATTTCCCTCCGAACATTCATTGTGATTAATAGACATTATATTCCTAGGAATTGTAGCAACAATTCTATCACCCTATAAGAAATTGAAAATACCAAATCAGGAAATAGGATCTGAAATTATCTGAAATAAATGTAACGCTTATAGACCCAAATTGTAATATATGAATTTAGTAATTGAAGAACTTACATGTTCGTCTGCCCAGACCATTGTTGCGTTATAGTCACTCGAATCATTATCTTCAACAATTTTCTTTATGATTTGAATGCATATGCTACATCCTTCAGATGATAAGGTAATTTCAGATATTTTTTCGCATGGAGATATTTTTCCCGAGAAAATACAAAATTCAAAAACGATAATGGATATGTTAACAAAGAGTGTTTTATTTTTAATAATATCTATATATATAAAAATATTTTGCAAGTAACGGTTAAACAATTAGGAGGTTTCGTTATTTAAAAGTACCGTTTAATCAGTAACCGCATGATTATAATATATAAAAATATCAACCATAATGGCCATACATAAAATTTCAATACAATTATATCCTTAAATAATTACGCAGTTAATAATTCATGTATTAAATAATATCATATCATTATTTGATAAATAGTAATTTGTATGTAGATTAACAATTTGAATAATATGAGGAGTATTTATTTAAACTACTCATATATTATACTTCTATTTTTTTATTCAAATGGATAAAAATGTATAACATGTGACTGACGAACATAGTATGCAAAACCAAAAATATTTTATTAATAATTCAACTTATAGAAACAAATAACCAACCATAAAAAATAAATATCCGAATGCTCAAAATATTAAACCAAATATTGGAAAAGAGAAAATTATTCAATAAAAAATTGAATAATAATAAATTCATAAACTGCAGAATATATGGGATCACATCTTCCCATTTTTGCCTCCCTCTTTGCCAACAAATTTACCACCACCACGTACTCGAGTTCGTCCCTTTGCAACACCTTCATTGGATTCACTTGTAAGAATAGCGTTCACCAAAACATCATCACTCTTCAGTGTATCCTCATCAATCACTTCATTCACATATGTTGTTTCCACACTAATCCCACTATTACATGACTTCTTAGACGATGACGATGAGTCGACTGAATCTTTCGAATCATCACGCTCACGCTTTGATAAAGGAGTTTTGATATTACCAGAAACATCATCCGAAGACTCTTGGCTTTGTGTGTTCATCAGTGATGCCTATAAATAAAAAAATTTCATGATGTAATATTGTCCCAAAAACATAAAAAATACATTCACATGATATGAATTTCACCTGATCGCCAGACATGAGTAAACTCTGATCACCCCCATCTTCAGATTCATTCACCTCATCAACTGTGGTAGTCAAAATCTGATTGCCTTTCCAAACCTTTCCGACCTTGTATGTATTACTACCACCGTAAAGATTTTCTTTCTCAACACAAATTAGAAACTGAAAAGTCTTCCCAACCAAGTTTTGCAATGCATCAGGAACGACATCCGGATCTTGTATCTATGTTGAAAAATAATAAGTATTTGGGAAATGATTTTTAATATAAAACTCATTGAAATAAAATACATAAAGTGTATAATACCTCATCGTATGTCCCTTTTAAAATTTCATCAGCAGATTGGTTAACAATATCCTTCGCACTTGAATCAAAAAGAAAACATTTGATCTTGCTCGTGTTGTCCATTACACAAAGATAGAGTTTGTATCTACAATATAATTTAAATGTAAACATGTGATTATATGTTTTTGCAAACAATATGTTATTTAGTAATTTATAAAATTTAGTTACCTCGCACTGACAGATGAAACTTTGGCATCACATGTTTCACATGAATATAGCTTCTTAGTTTTATCACAAAATTTTTCGTCTTTGCGTTTTGGGATTTTGTAGACCTTTTTCCTATATTTAGTGCAAACCAAGTAAAACCATGACCAATCTGTATCAACCGCATATACAGTACACATGATTTTACATTTTCCAACCTGAATATTTAACAATAGAACAGTCACCATAATTGCATAAACTCTATTGATAAATTAACACATAAAATTTAAGGTTTGAGTTATACCTTTAATTTAGTCGATACCATATATAAAGTTTTACACGCTTTAAGTATTTTATGTTATTAGTTTTATATTAAAAAAACATTTCCCAAAGATATATCATTTTATCAACATATAATAAATTTATGACAACTTTGTTATATAGCTCCAGATAAACTTGCAGTTCAGCAATAGTCACCATTGGAAACTGATCAAAATTACTCTCATCATCATAAGAAATCCTCTGATGTGGCTTGCTACTCAAGAAAGTAATATTTCTGCCATTTGCAGGTAAACTTCATATTGGAAAACAATTCTTATTAATAATCACATTGTCAAATATGTGTGTGATATATAAATAAATTATTTACCTATTTTTGAAATCAACGACATCTGGATCGTTAAGATCTATTAGCACCTTAGAGGTTTGGAAAGAACTGGTAATTTGACGTTCACCTATAATAATTTAAACAAATAATGAAAATGCATTTTATCCTATGTTGAAACAACAATTTTGTAATTAAATATTTTTACCTCTAAACACATTGATTTTTCCAAAATGGATTACAATGATGACACCATGTTCGCCAGCATTCTGACAAGCCGAATAGACTTGCTCGCCAAATTTACCCCAAAGTGTGCATGGTAAGCGCTCCTCTCTATATATAATCCGGTTCAATTAGATTAGAGTAAATATTTAAAAGGATAAAAAACGTTAACCGTATATACTCACTTCGCATTACACAAGTCGAACTCAAGCTTGCTTGTGTCCTTGTTCATGACATGGATTGTTTCAAGTTCACGTACACTTTCAACTCGTCCAATAACATCTGGTATTTTGAAAAATGACGTCAGATGAATATGTATATAAATGTAATAAACTAACTATATAAATAAATGGAAACTCACCGATCAAAAAACTTGTACTTGTGGAACCGTTCAAGATTGTATCATAATCTAAGAACTAAAAAAATCGACTGTCAGATCGATTAACACTTTTGCTAACAACGGTGGATGAAATGAAGGACATCTTGAATTGATGCTTTGTGACGCGGTTTTGACCTGACGTCTGGTTCAATGAAAAGTTCACGATGAACTTCCATTCACCGACAACCATCAACCGCTTGAAACGATGCAACAGGTTTTTCTTGACAGTAGTGTGGATTTTGGTACCCTGAACCGAAAAAATATTTATAAGTAAACCATTAATAGTTAGTAAAACAAAATTGTAATTACACATTCACTTGATCATACCATTTCATTTGCGAGAATGATTTTGAGAGACTCTCCACTCTTAGTCTGGTATTGTGTGAAGCACCTTCACCTGCACCTTCCACCCAGTCTTGAATGGCTTTAAGTCAGCCAAAGGGGTTAACCTCATGTTGGAAGCCATTGCAAAGAATTGAAATGAACAAAAAGTTAAGAAAGTTGTAGTTGATGTGGAGTGAAATGGAATACGGTAGTGTCGTATTTGAAACAGTATAGAGTTTTCGCAATACCGTTGAGCTGTATGTAAATTGGCGGCCAATTATTTTTTTTTCAATTCAAATTGAACACAATATCGAAAGAAAATAGCGAATCCTACTTTTTGTAAAGTAGATGTTATTGAGTATCTATACGGTGATGCGAAATAAATGGATAGTATTCAATAACAAACTAATAGCATATTCTCATATATTGAGATTTAGCAATAGTTCAGAATAAAATTTGAGGATTTTGTACAATGCCGTTAAGAGGTAAGATACATTGGTGGCGAAGTATAATTGTTCAAATTAAATTTAATACCAATATTAGGACAAATAGCCAAATACGTCATTCTTGGAAGTTGTTATTATTGTGTTAATATTTGGATATGCGAAAAAAATGATTTGAAGATTTGTAGATTTTCTCTTATATTTTGAATCAAGATTCTCTCATAGGTAATGTTCTTAATATGTAAATATATTTATTGCGATATCTATTTCATTTATCCCGATTATTAGGAGCTAAATACTTCAAAGAGATTACATCTTTAAAAATCATTAATTGCCTAAAATACAAAACGGGTCAGAATTAGGATCCGCGTCCTTTTAAACGGGTTTAAAAGGACGCGGATCCTCTTTGGTTTGAGTTTTTTTTTTTGTTTGTGGGATACATTTTTATTCAATGACATTCATTGTAATATACCACGTAACACCGAGGTCAATTTCCTAAATGTACTTCTCCTTTAATATTATAAGATGTTAGTCTGTTAATGTACTCTAACAATTTATGCAAGCTCCAAGCAATGGTCATTACGAAGCTGCTCTTCCAGTTGTGCATTTTTTTGGAGGGCTCTCCTAGTCAAGGGAAATTGTTCCAAGCTGATTTGGATATATGGCTCATTGCATTTTGTTACTCAAATTGGACTGCATTTCCAGTGAAAAACGGTCTAGCTGATTTCTTCTATCATATTTTTTGCCGGCTCCATGTTTCTTGGAAAACCAAAAACAACCCACCATTTCTCTTTCTTCTGCTGAAACTGAATATTGGGCTGCATCTAAAGCCAATGATGAGATTACTTAGCGTCGTCAACTACTCTCGGATTTAAGTGTGCGTCAAATTAGGCTGTATCCATTGTTTTGTGATAGCCAGGTTACTGTACACGTTGATGCGTATCTGGTATTTCATGAACAAACTAATTAAGCATATTAAAATTGATTGCCACACGGTTCGTGCAATTCAAGATGGGATCATTTCCACCGTTCATGTTGTGAAAACTCAACTAGCAATAGTATATTTCCTAAAGCTTTGGTCGTCAAATATGTTGATCGTTTAGCATGCAATTTGTGAATTTCTAATCTTCGTGCTAAGATTTGAGGGGGAGTATTGGTCCTGGTTATATCAGTTGTGCTTGGTTAGTATAAATTGATGTAAATTAGGTACGACTAACAAAAAAATGTTATATTGTTATAAATTGGATAATTATTCAAACTCACCGCTCACCCTGGGCTTTCGGGTATCCAATTCGGTTCCAGGGAGGTACCAAACGGTTCCGGGTATTTTGGTTCTTAACCAAATAGGTACCTACTTAATTTTGGTTTGGTTCCGGTTCGGTACCTATCGGTTCTGGGTCAGTTCGGGTATTAATGTTCATAATCGTAAAATATCCAAAAAATTGGTTCTCCAAATTTCGGTTCTTAAACAGTTTTATATATACGAAATCAGCAAGAAAAAAAAATCTCAAAAAAATCAAAGTTCATATCCGAAATCAATTATAAGCAAGTTCTATACTCTGAAACAATAAGTACATAAACAAGTTCAGAAGCAAAAGTAATACATGAAATAAATGAAACAAACAAAAAAGCATGAAGGTTTAAAACACTGTCTACAATCCAACACAAAGAGGAATGCATACAAACTCTGTTTCATGATGGGTTGTGTGACTTGTGTCGTTGTGACTCGAGTAAAAAAGTAGAAGCAAGAGATGCAATTCTTCTGAAGCATGAATTGTGATCTGAAAATGCAAAAAAACAGAAAAACATCATAATCAGAAATTGGAATGATCAGAGAATTGTGTAAAAACGTGGACTCCTTACCAGAATTATGGTCCTTGCTCCTTCATTGACTCCTTAGTCTTGAATATCAATTTCTCCAAACTCTGTAGAGTATAAATGATTGAATGATGAGAAAAATTTTGGAAGTTTTAGCTTATAGTTTAAAACAAATAGACAATTTACCTCTCTAATGATCATCAAGGAGTTGTTCAATAGTAATAGTTCCACTACGATCCATACAAATCTCACTCTTCAACCATTGCTCTGTATGCATCAACACTTCTAAAATGTATTGTGTCAAGCAACTCCTAGATGGATCCAAGATGCAACCACTTGTACTAAAAGCAGACTCAGATGCAACTGATGAAACTTGCATTGCTAGAACATCATACTCATTTCCTTCAAAAATATGAGGATTTTCCACATTCTCGGCCTGATACAACTCAAGCTTAGCGGTTACTTTCTGAAATTAGATTTCTTGCACCAGCTCCTTGTAAACTATACATCCATTCTTTCATAACGCGTACGACCAGCCAAGTCCATTCTACGGTTTCTAGTTCTACCTAACTCTTGAGCTCGAGGCTGAGATGATGATCCACTTACTTGTGACGGATCAGAAGTAGCAGAAGTAGAAGTGGCATTTGAAGTTCTATTCAGAGAACTAGCAAGTCTAGTATTATACTCTTCAAACAATCTCTTCAGAATATCCATGACTGAATCGTGCATTTTTGTAGCAATCATACTCTCTGGTCCATATAGCTTCTCAAAAAAAGCTTAGCAACTTTCATTTTGTTCCTTGGACTGAACACACTGGCTAATATCAACATCCTATTCATTTCTGTTTCTAACCTAAATAGATCCCAATACTTCCCTAACTTAGCTATCATAGCAGTGGCTTTCTTCTTCAACACTAAATCGGGATCTAGGGTCAATAAGACTAGATTTCTTTCTATGGTTACCATTTCATTGCAACATTTATGTGCACGAGGTAACTTAGTAGAAGAAAGGACTAAAGTAGCATTGCAGAAGATAATGAGAAAGTTAAGTAACATATCAACTTCGTCCCAATCTTCTTGTATAGGCTGTCCAATCCTCTTCTTCCCATCTACTCTTTCTTTAAAATAGTCGTTACACAACTAGTCCTCAGCAACCATCTTCTCAAACTCCAGCCTGAAGTCCATAGCTCTATTCAACATTAGATATGTTGAATTCCATCTGGTTTGCAATCGAGAGACAGACTACCCCTTGTTATCTACCTTGTGTCAACACGAAGCTTGAAGGACATCAACCTTGGCGTAGAAGACCTCACGAATCCTACAACATTCCGGATGTCACAAACATGCTTGTCCACATCGTGCAGTCCATCCCTCACAATGGGGTTGATAATGTGAGTAGCACACTGTATGTGTAAATACTCACCACCGAGCACAAGTGAATTATCTCACAGTACAGTGAATTGTTCCTTAAGTCTTCTAATAACATAGGAGTTTGATGTTGCATTGTCCACTATGATGGAAAAACAATCTAGAAGAGCAACACATATAGTACATCCCTTGTGATCACAAACATGCTTGAATCTGATGATCAGCTTCTTCAACTGCCTACTACAATCAATGAAATGGGCATTGATTACCATGTAGCTAGCATTGGTGGTGGGATTTACCCATATATATATTAGTTGTCAAGGACAGCCTCTGCTTATTGGCGCCAAGCACTTTCTTCATAAGTGTTTCCTTTCTCACAAACATCTCCACAATTTCCCCTGTAAATGTTCTCAGAGAGACAGGCTTGTACAATTTAATTCTGTTGTAGAAATGCCTCCAAGCTAAACAGTCTACGAAAGACAGAGGCAACTCACCTATCACTAGATCTCATTTCTAGCTTCTCTGACCACAGTTTCAGAAACTTTACACAGCTTGAGACCATCATTACCTTCTGGATCTAGTTGCTGTTGATTTGATTTCTTTGATGCTACCCACGCCTGATGCTGCTTACAGAAGTCAAGATGCTTCTTAAGCTTAGAGGTGCTGGATGATGATGCACAACCCATTGACTTCCCATAGTAATGACAGTTACACTTGTCATAGTTGGCTTTCGTTCTTGTAAAGTGGTTCCATACAAGGGATCTTGTTCTTTTTCTTCCCGTACCCTTTGCATTAGCCTTCCGTGTCCCTTTAGTTGCAGAAGTAGGAGTCTCACCTCATCCTCTGTTACCTCTAACTCATCATTCGTATCAATATCTGGCTCTTCATTCATGTTTGGTAGATCTGGATTGGAATCCATCTGCAACATATTAAGTGATTCAAAGAATAAGAAACAACATGATGATACAATAAAACACAAGCATTCAGAATCATTCAGAACACAACTAATCGAACAAAACTAATCCGATATATACACAAGTATATGCTTTAATTCATAACATATATAAATATAAATTTGAACTAATGACACCGAATTTTTTTACTTCAATTAAACTATTGAGCTTTGTGTTTGTAATATAGCTAAATTCACCTCATGAAAAATTCGGCCTTATCAGAAGGTGAGGCAACCATATGTCATGTGAGCTCAATATTAAATGGTCTACAAAGACTTCTTGTGAAAAGATAAAAAAACAGATCGTAATGGATGGAAGCTTCATTTTCTTGGAGTTACACTAGTATTTGTCCAGAGTCACAATTATATATACGTTGTCGTTGCAGAAATGAATAATATATATTTCATGTGTAACATCCCTATCCCAGGCTCCTAAGAGAGCGGCGAACCGGGTATGTTAGGTCGGCCATCAAACCGCGTCCGGTAGGATGTCCGATCTGGTGAGCACACAGGATCGCCAGGAAAACGCCCAGGTAACAATCAACAACACAGACTTAGGCTGATCTCTCTACTAAACCTGAAAGACAAGGGGAGAGGAGGGGTGAGTAATTGGGATTACTCAGTGAGGGTGGACCTTAAGGAGGCCCACAACATCATCAAACTAGCATAAATTGGTTTTAAGAGATCTAATCCTAAAGCAAGCCCAAGCAACACATATATAGATATATTTACTTATATATATAGACAACTCATTCCTAGCAATCAATCACACAGCATTCAAGGGTAACCCTACAAACAACTACGCAAGAAACGGGTCCCTGGACGCGGCAGTAGTGGGCTGCCACATGGGCCTCACCCGGAAAGGCAACCAGAATAATCACATCCAATGGCTGGCATATTACCATACCCATTAGTCAGGATCACTCTGCCAGTCACACAGACTGATCCACAGCAATCACCGAGACAGGCTATGACACTAACGGTCACTCAGGCGGCTTCTCATAGCGGTCTCACCAGAAAGCTGTACCCAGTGGTCCCTTTGGACGGCTCAATAAACAGTGGATCGCTAATCCACTCCAGCGATGGCTCTAGCCGTGCCTCACACGACAGCGATAGCCAACAAACAACACTGACTCCTGCCTCCAGGAGCCAGGGGTCCTATCAGAGATCTATATGCACACTCATCCATTTCAAAGAATCATCCATTTCTTAAAGGTCCTTCCATTATTAAGATGCACTTTCGGTGATACCAATTGTAACAAAAAGGAACAATAATCAGGTTAACATCACACAATCAATATTTTAAAGTCCAATAAGTTTAGATCCAAGTTCAGGTTAATTATCTCATTCCACCAGCAATCATCAACAAACAGGCAACATAGATCCAGGTCCTAAACAATTCTAGCAGCCCTAACAAGCAGATCTAAGCCTGATCTAAGAAAAGGTCACTTAAAAGACAACCATGCATATTTAAGAGAGGATGAAGCCACAGAGCCCTCACCTTGGCTTAGAAGGCTGAGAAACTGGAGGAGGAGGCAGAGGAGAAGCAGATCTAAGAGGAGATCCATCAGAATCAGCTCCCATCTCACTCAAAGGAGAAGGAGGCGGCGCAGACATCACAGCGAGGCAAGGAAGCTTTGACGGCGAGAGAGGCTTGGAGGATGGCGGCGGCCGCGGCAAGGAGAGAGAGAGACGTGGCCAAGAGAGAGAAAGAAGAAGAAGAAAACGCAGAGAGAGAGAAAGGAAGCAGCTCGGCGCAGAGAGGAGAGAAAGAGAGAGGAAAAAGGTGGCTAGGATTGATTAGGAGCTTAATGGGCTTAATGGGCTCTTAGAAAGAAATTAGGAAAAGCCCAAATAAAAAGGAAATAAATAAAAAAGGAAATAGAGATGGTTGAATTTAATAAAACCGGAATTATGAACTAGTAACATCCGATATTTGGTTAACCAAAAGTCGGGATGTTACATCATGTGAGCCAAATATTAAATGGTCTACAAAAACATTTTGTCTAGATGGATGGAAGCTTCATTTTCTTGGACTTACACAAGTATTTATCCAAGAGTCACAATTATATATACGTCGTCGAAGAAATGAATATTATATATTCCATATTTAAAAAATAAATAATAACGTGACTTTTGATCCAAAAAATAAAAAAAATAATAACGTGACGATGAAGATGTTGCAATTATTAACCTATAAATTATCGAAACAATTGTACTGTCAAATAAAAATTTAGTATAATAAAATTAGACTACATTGGCTACAGTCAAATTGCATGCATGTGGTAGTTTAAAACTTTGATAAAAAAAAACTCGATTTAGATGTTAAAAAATGATCAAGTACGAGGCCTGGTTGGCATATTTAAATTAAATGAATGATCGATCAATTAATCATAATCGCTATATAAGGAACGTCACTGAGATGTAAAAGAACCATCCTAAACATTTCTGTTGAAGATAACAAAATAAAAACTCAAAGCAAAATGACTTTGATAAAGTTTCCTCTCATAGGACTGCTTTTGCTCCAAACTATCGTGGTCTCTCCGGCAACAGCAGATGGGCCGGTTTGCCCGCCATCGACCAAACTAAGCCGGGCAAGTTTCCCTAAAGGTTTTCTATTTGGCACGGCTACTGCGGCTTATCAGGTACAGTATAAGTTTCCATGAATATTTCTTGATCGACATATAAAAAGGTGTTCAAAAATTATTTTACAACCTAGGTATGTTATCATTTATATATATATATATATATATATATATGCCACTAATGAATTCATGTTTTCCAGAACCGTATTTTCACAAAATTTATAGACTATAAACACTATATTATACAATATAATACTTTATGAACAATATAAGTTCCCATAAACATTTATTAATTGTTCAATTGTTTACTATAGTTAGATAGTATAGATGTAGGTCCCCAATGGAATTCATCTTTATCATTTTTTTAAACTCTATTTTCACAGAATGTATAGAATAAAACACTATATTATTCAATAGAATACTAGTACTATACTGTTTCGTATTTTATATCATTTGCTAACTCTATCAACTCTTTTTCTGTAATGTCATTAATTAGGTTGAAGGTGCAGTGAATGAAACTTGTCGTGGACCGGCCTTATGGGATATCTACTGTAAGAGGTATCCAGGTTAGTGCCTATACAATTTTTTTTTTCTTACTCTCTGAACATTGTATCTAGAATATTGGTTCAAAACTAATCCGGATAACTATCTATTTTTTTTAAAAAAAAAATTAAATTACAGAGAGATGCAATAACGATAACGGCGATGTAGCCGTCGACTTCTTCCATCGTTATAAAGTACATAAATTAATACTGATTGAAGACTTTATTTATATCTAGTAAATGTCCTATTATTTATTTATTATTAGATGTTAAAATTTTTCTCCTCTGGAAAAATGTTTGCAGGAAGATATTCAACTAATGAAGAATCTAAACACAGACGCCTTTAGACTCTCTATCGCGTGGCCAAGAATATTCCCTCGTGAGTTTATCACTAATGTTTTTCCTTTGTTTATGAGTTTGGTGTATTTAATGCATATGATTTATTGCTAAAAATATTAATGAAACGATTATCAGATGGGAGAAGAGAGAAAGGAGTCAGCCAAGCTGGTGTGCAATTCTATCACGATCTCATCGACGAGCTCCTAAGAAATGGTTATATATTTTTTAAAGCAGAAATTGGTTAACAAAACAGAAATTAATTGATTACGTTTTCATTATCTAAAAAAGTTAAATTCTTTTTATTTATTTATTTAATAATGTAAATTAATAGGTATAGTTCCGTTCGTAACTGTTTTTCATTGGGACACACCACAAGATCTAGAAGACCAATATGGCGGCTTTTTAAGCGAATTGATTGTGTAAGTTTATTGTAAAACAAAACCAAATTTTCTGTTTATACAAACCTGACTAAGTCCAACAATGCAGGAATGATTTCCGAGAGTATGCTGATTATGTTTTCCAAGAATATGGTGGAAAGGTGAAAAATTGGATCACATTCAACGAGCCATGGGTCTTTGCTCACGCTGGTTACGATGTAGGAAAGAAAGCACCAGGACGTTGCTCTCCTTACGTCAATCCTAAGTGCCAAGACGGACGATCAGGCTATGAGGCTTACCTCGTCAGCCATAACCTTCTTAACTCTCACGCAGAAGCCGTTGAAGCTTTCCGAAAATGCGAGAAGGTAAATGTTTATAGATCATATGAATTTATTTCAATCTTGTTTTACAATTATTGTGTCCTAGATATGAACCTTTTTTGTGTTACATTTATGGCCACAGTGTAAAGGTGGGAAGATCGGAATCGCACATAGTCCGGCATGGTTCGAACCACATGACTTTGATGATGCACAAGACGGTGCGTCCATTGACCGTGCACTTGACTTTATGATGGGCTGGTAAGTAGTTAATAATGTTTGCAATGTTAAATGCCCTGAAAGAAAACGGGTGCTTGTATCTATTAATTTCATTTAATAGAATTTGTTTTTTTTTTTTTTGGTAGGCATCTTGATACTACTACGTTTGGAGATTATCCACAGAAAATGAAAGACATTGTTGGACATAGATTGCCTAAATTTACTACTGAGCAGAAAGCAAAACTGAAAGACTCGACCGATTTTGTAGGGCTCAACTACTACACGTCCATGTTTTCTAACCATCTTGAGAAGCCCGATTATTCTAAACCAAGATGGATGCAAGATTCTCTTATATCTTGGGAAAGTAAGTTTCTTTTCCCTTACCTGAAACCGAACCAAGAAAATAGATGGCAAAAAATCAAAGGAAAAGAATCTTATATGGAACTAATTAAAATCTATATTCTTTTCAGCTAAGAATGCGCAAAATTACACTATTGGTAGCAAGGTATGCATTTAATTAGTGGTTGGTATTAGCCGCTTTTGTGTCACCATCTAGGTTCAAACTTGCATCATGCTTCTTTTTCTTTCTAACAAAAATCACAGATAAATATTGTATTTTTTATATGGCGTAACACTTTCACCTTTATTATATTTCAGCCTTTGACTGCTGCATTGAACGTTTACTCGAGAGGATTTAGAAGTCTTTTGAAGTACATCAAGGATAAATACGCAAACCCTGAAATTATGATCATGGAAAATGGTAACTAGAGATTTTTTCTTTGTTTATTTTATCTTTGAAATAAATATATATTGATCTTAATATTTAACTACTGTATTAGGATATGGAGAAGAACTTGGGGCCACAGATTCGATTGCAGTTGGTACTGCTGATCATAACAGGAAATATTATCTTCAAAGGCATCTTTTGAGCATGCAAGAAGCTATTTGGTAAGTCCTATTTCACATTTATACGATAGAGTTACAATTCTATTGTAGAATCTCTAATTAGAATATTTATATGTCCAAACTGCAGCATCGACAAAGTAAATGTTACGGGATACTTTGTATGGTCGTTGTTGGATAATTTTGAGTGGCAAGATGGTTACAAGAACAGATTCGGACTCTATTACATTGATTTCAACAATAACCTCACACGTTATCAGAAAGAATCCGGAAAGTATTATAAAGAGTTCTTAAGTGAAGGGATTCGTCCTTCCACGATCAAGAGGGATGAGCTTTGAGATGTAATTCGAGGATTTGGTTTCATTTCATTGTTTCTTTCCTATGGTTTAGTTTTTGATTGACTACTATTTATGAGATCTTGATTGAAATAAAGTGTGTTTATGTTTATTTCATTGCTTAATGTTATAAAATCCCACGTAGAGAATTTGTTCTGTTACTTCTCTTGATCTAGGGTTTAGTATTTACACGCAAGATCTAATCTCATATATAAAAAGAGTCAACTCTTTCTATATGAGTATCACATCAGCATTTAAGAATTAATATGGGATGATATGTATCATGCTTTTAATTTAAAGTTACAATTTTTTTTTAAAAAAAATAACTGATAAATTTTAATTTTTCAGTATTAAACAATTGACAAAATGATTTTTTTTTATTAACTCTTAAATAGAATTTGGATAAATGTTAAATAAAAATTATATTACAATTAATTACAATATTGATGGTTATTTTTATGTAAACTCTTGATTTTTTAATCATATTATATTTTAAATTGATTGATTTATAATAATATACTAACGCATAACAAATGATAATTATATTTTTATAAAAAAAATATAAAAATATATAAATTTGAAATAGTTGAAAAAAAATCTGCATGTTACATTCAGGTATTCACGTAATACAAATAAAAGGACATCATAAATGGTAAAGGAAAATCTTACCTATCACGGTTTTTACAATATATGTACAAATATCTTAATTACCCCTCAAATTGGAGTATATATTATGTAAATATCTTTATAACCCCTCCTCAAACTGGAGTATGAATTATATAAATATCTTTATAATCCCCCTCAAATTGGAGTATGCATGCAGAGTGTTTTAGATGTTCAAACACAAAAATATGCCAAACTCTTTGAATAGCAAAGCTTTTGTAAGGATTTTAACAAGTTGATCTTTTTATTACAAGAAAACAGGCAATTTGCAAGGAAAATTGTGATGGAAAAAATCCATTGAAAATTTGTAATGGATATTATGATTTTGCTACGGACCTCGTCTCAATAGCAAATCCCTCACAAATTTGTAATATAACGACAAAATAGTGAGGAGGCCAAAATCTTTGGGTAATCCCATCAAAAATATATGACATTTTTGCCAAAAAATCTTTTTGTTTTGAACGTCAATTTCATTGCAAGAAAGCCATTACACTAGTTCTGATACAAAATCTCTCAGAGATTTCTTCGCCAAGTTATCAGCAAGGACATTGGCGGTACGAGGAATGTGAAGAACATGATAAAAGAGAAAGAAAACAATAGAGATTTGACATCATGGAGTAGTCTGAAGAGATCCTTGATTCCATTGTCATTTGTGATAGCTTTGATGAGTTCCAGTGAATCAGAGACAAAGTGCAGAGTTTAGGACAAGGGCTTCTCCCACTAGAGGTGATGAGACAAAGGTCTCTATATCACATCCTTGACCAATGGTGATGTTTTTGGGATCCTTAAAAGTCCAGGCTGAGCCTGATGTTTTGACATCTTCCTTCCATGCTGCGTCTGAGAAGACCGATATTGCGTCTCGTAGTAGTGGAGGCCCTGGTTTGGAGATTGCCTCTTGTGTTCTATCTTCTCCTCCATATTGAGCTTATTGCCATTCATGAGCCATAGTAATTGCTTTTGACCAAGTTTCCGCAAGAGATATTGTTCTGTTTTCATGAATCTGTAGATTCCTAGAAATCCAGAGCTGCCAACAAATCCAAGGGGGGAGTGGCCATAGACCAACTCCATAGGGTGGTAAACACGTGATAGAGTAGTGGAAACTCAATTTTACGAGGGATCAAAGAACTTGATCTCGGAAGAACGGAAAGTCAATTTAGAAGTCGGAATTCGAATGCTAGATCGACGAAGGATGTGAATACTCTTCACAGTGCTTGAAATCTTTTTAAGTTTCAATATAAAAATCAAATGTATCTTTACAAAGGTTCCTAAGACAACTATATATTAAACCTAACAAAGATAACAACAAATCTCTTCTCTCCTAATCCCAGAGAGATCTCAAATATTCATGTACCTGAATAAAACCAACAATCCTCCACGGTAAACACGTAAAGCCCAAGAAGTGTTTACAAGAGGCCTAAAAAGAGTACGATGTGCTGCATCAGGTATCTCTGGGTGGGAGAGGATTCGGCCTCCCCTTCAAAAGGTGACAAGTGCTTAACGTTGAACACGTCTGATGTACACATTTGAGGAGGTAAACAATCTCTGTAAGCATTTGGATTGATACGCTCCAAAACCTCCACCAACCAATCTTGCGAGACTATTATACTCCCTCATAGGAACTCGATCCTTCAAAATAACAACCCAAACGAGGTCACCTGGTTCAAAAAGAACCTCATGCCGCTTAGAATCAGCTGCAGTTTTGTACTTAGACTCTGCTTTCTCCAAATTCGCCTTAGCTTGCAGATGAATATCCTCTATGACAACGAGTCCGATCAGGAAATGTAGTGAGGTTCAATGGCCCGTGAGGAACGATGTCGTATACAACACGAAACAGACTAAACCCAAGACAATGATTTGACGCATGATTATAAGGAAACTCTTCCTTGCAGAGCTTAGCATCCCACATCTTGATATTGTCTCTGACCAAACAGCATAAAAGATCACCAAAAGCATGGTTGGTGACTTCTGTTTGGCCATTCGTTTGAGGATGATACGCCATGCTCATATCAAGGCATGTCCCCAACAGCTTACAAAGAGAACGTCAAAGTGAGTGAGGAACTGCGTATCGTGGTTAGACACAATAGAAGACAGTAGTCCATGAAGCCGATATATCTCGTGAAAGAAAAGAACAGCCACACTTACTGCATCAGTTGCCTTCTTACAGGGAACAAAATGCGTCATCTTGAAGAATCGATCTAGTACAACAAAAATAGAGTCAAAGCCGTGTTGTGTTCGTGTAGGTCCCAAAACAAAATCCATACTCACATCAGTTCTCAGCTGTGTTGGAATCAACAAAGGTAGATAAAGACCACCATTAGAGGGCTTCCCTTTGGCCTGTTGACAAACGCAACAACGCTCAACAAAGCATTCGACATGACGCCATAACGAGATGAAGTGTTCTGTCTCTGCCAACGTGTCCCTCATGATGAAGTTACCGAATAATCTAGAGCCTGAGACACACACTAAGACGCACAGCCGAACACCCTTGAAGAGGAAACCATCTTGAACAGTGTACTCAGCTCCGAATCCCCGTTCAGCGTCCGCAAAAATGCGTGCAAAGAAGGGATCTGTTAGGTAAAGATCGGCTAAAGCAGCAAAACCTGTAACCGCCGTAAGCATTGTCATGAAGAGACCATGAAGGCGACTTAAAGCATCGGCAACTCGGTTTAACTTTCCTGGTGCTGAATGAAAAAGGTAGATTGTTGTCACCGGGGGTGCGGTTTTCACTTCCAACAGTTAGCCCCCCCCCCCAGTTCGACCAAAGGGGTTATTTTTTTCCAACTCATCCAAGTCCGATTCAGAAACCAGGGTGCAAATCAAGCTCGGATTATTCTGACAATCCATCTTCCAGAGCTCTCCAAACCCTAATTTAATAAGGCACGTGAAATCCGAAACGTTGCAAAGATCGATGAAGCACGATTCCTACTGTTCCTTTATAACATGAAGTTCACTTCGCATTCCTCATTTCTGCCTCTGCATATACACTGCTCTCATTTTTCTCTAGAATTGTTTCTCTCTGTAGCTTTTGTTTGCTTAATTTCTTAGTTCTCTCCACCGCACTCCTTTGAATTTTCCGATCCACCTTCAAACGCTTCCTCCATTCTGGCTTGAATTTTCCGATCCATCTTCATCTTGTTCTTCAATTTCTCTCTTTTCCAAATTCATCTTTTGATCCAAAATGTCCTCCGATTCCTCTTCAAATGATGTTTCTTACAACAGGATCCTTCCCGAAGATCGTCGCGAACCCTCTGAGCCTTCAAATTCTTTGCAACACACTAGATCAGCTGATATTCCTCCAACCTTAGTTCGTAAGAATTCTAGGTCGGCAGGCGCTGGGAGTAGCCGACCTCCTTCAACAGTTGAACCACCCGAGCTGCTGGCGAAAAAAACTCGAGAAACCAAAGCCCGAGTTTCTCCAAACGCTGACAACGAGAGTCTTTGATCCCACGACGAGGAGATCTGGGAGAACGACGAGGCTGGAGAAGATGCTGAGGTCGTAGAAGAAAGATTCAATGAAAAAACCGATGCTGAGGTCGGCATCAAAGCTGGCGAGGTAGAGGAAGTCCAAGCAGTAAATATCGCATCTGAACCCGCCCCAGCTCAGAAGGTTGTCCGTCCTTGAGATATGCCTGTATCTTCTTGTACTCCAGAGTCAATCCAAGCCTTCTCAATTCCGGTCTCACAAGCGAGTTTCAAACAGCTTTCAGCGAGGCTGGCAAACGTCGTTGGCCCAAAGCGTGGGAAGGTATTCTACGACGCCGATCTCGGAAGTCTGGTACGTGTTGCTTAATCTTTTTATATCCCCTTTTACTCTAGTTCGTTCAAACTCGTTCTCACATTTTTCTCTTTTTTCTCTCTTTTTTTTTTAAGTTAAAGAGCCGAAGCCCTTTCCTTCTAAGAGACGACCTAAGTCAAAGCTTCCGCAACCTCCCTAAAAACGTACCAAATGTTCAAAGTCTTCGACAATGCTTTCACTAGACAAGATTCCCCGCCTGTTCAGCGACGACCAGCCGACTGAGACAGCGCAGGAGCTCGCACCTGTTGCTGAAGAGGTCAATCCGACAGCTGGTGAAGTTCCTCCTCTCCCCAACTCACAGGATCAAGCTGGACAGAAAAAGGCGAAGAAGAAGAAGTCCTCAAAGAAAGCCAAAAGGGTGGAAGGCACTTCCCAGCCTCAAGAAATCGATGCTGACCACAATCCCACGGTCCCCACAACCTCCAAGCTCGCGATTCGTCAGGATTATCCAGAGCCGTCGAATGCTAGCAAGAGGCAGGATCGGGATTCCGCCGACAATTCGCTCCAATCTGAGCTGGCCAAGAGGGCTAAGGTCAGGTTCGTGTACGATGAGGAGGTCCCGCTTGAGGACAATGTGGACGCCTGCGCGGACCTCTACCACAAGATATCTGGCGAGGTGGCCAAGGTCTCCGAGCTGCAGT